GACCCAAAAACCCAGATCACTTATTTAATTTTAATAATTTAACTGTCTAATCTAACCCTTTTATAAAATATTTTCCTTTTTAATAACCCCTTTCCCCCTTTGGGGGGAAGAAAACCCCATTATGTTAATAGTAGGTGAGAAGACTCAGGCTTTTTAAACCCCTTTTATATTCAATTGTGATGGCGTAAAAACCCCCTTTAGAGCTGTAGGACGTCTAACCCCTTGTTCCGGGAAACTTTCCACTAAGTTATCTCTGGGTTTTGCCGTCTTATCTCCCCAAATTTCCCCTTTTTTTAATTCAAAAGGGTTTGAGTTAAATTTTTAAAAAAAATTAAAAATGATGGTAAAAAAATTTTGTATTAACAAAGAAATTATTCTTCGTACACACACGCGTACGCACGCATACAATCATATACGTAATTGATATTTCAAATACAATTCTTTTTAAATAAAAAAGTAATAAGGGGACTTGGATGCCGAATATTGTTCAACAGAAGATAAATCTTAATAAAAGGCTCAAGAGGTACGGTAAAATTAAATATTTGAGCATTTTTAATTTTTTACCAAAAATATTCCTTTTGTATTATTTTTAAATTAAATTAAGAACAATGTATTTATTGAAGGCCAAAATAATATTTTTTTGGAATTTTTTTAATACAATTTCTTAGATTCTCTTAAAATTGTTATTGGAAGGAATATTAAAACAGATTTCTCTTTCTTGAAAAAAACTAGAATTAAAAAAGCAGTTCTTTAAAAAAGGGAAGGAAAGAAAAATGTTTAAAATTTTCAAAACCAAAGGGGTACATATTTTATATTCATACTTTCTCATTTTCTCTCAATTTCTATTTAAAGAAAAAAAAATTTGTATATTTTAAGCTTTCTTCGTGTGAATATTTACGCTTTTTTCACTATACAAACAAATACAAATTTCGTCAGCAATGAGTACGAATTTTGAAATTACACATAAACTAGTTTGGAAAACCTTAAAAAAATTACATGATGAGTCGCAAATGTTTTGCAACTTACTCAGAAGAAACCTTTTTTAAAGTAAATGTTTACTTTTCAGGAAATAAGATAATCACCAGCAGGAATCTTGGATGAAACTTACAATAAATCTTCAAACTCTTTTGAAAAATCTCATTAATATTAAAATAAGTCAAACTTGTATGCTATTATTATTATTCAAGAAACTTTGAAATATAAAAACAACCTCCTAGAAATAGCGAAAGAATGTTTAGAATAAATCTACATATATTATATAAAGCTTGTATATGCTGTGTTTGAAAGTGGAAAAAAATATGGTGGGTGCATTAGAAATCGTAGGTGATAAATTAATTTACGGAGGCAGAAAAATGATTGATGAGCAAATTATTGATGGTAAAAGGATCCAAGGAACTTGTAAGTCCAATCTGAGGCTATTTCATTTAAAGAAAAAAAAATATAAATCTAATTTGTGTGTTTCCTTCAACATTACTATTACATTTATAAAAAGGTGTACATTGTGCTTTGAAATGAGCTTATTGATTAAGTTTTCAATTCGTCATCTTGAGAAGAAATCCCTGTAGTTTACAAAGCTACAAAGACTTCGCACTCAAATTAATTTGACAGCATGCTAAGTCAGCGTTTTTTAAACTGTGGGACGCGCCCCCTAGGGGAACATGGTAACTCAACGAGGGGGCCGTGAGCATATGTAAGAGTCGAAAACAAAAGATTTTAAAGAAAATATTAGCTTACTGAAAGTAAAATAAAAATAATAAATTCTGACAAAATAAAAAAAATAAAATACACATTCACACCGATATAAAACACTTATAAATGTATCAGTACTGCAGAATGTAATTTATAATTAATTTAACAATACTAAATTAAGAACTAGTTCAATAATTACCAGTGACCCCAAGGGCTTGTCACATATAAAATTATATACGAAAATTAACACTTGACAATTTTTTTGTACGGTTCATAAATAATCCCTCAACTGCCGATTAAAATTTACGCGATTCGCGCCCTAATGCCACCGTTTTTCACGTAGGAGTGCGAATGTGATGTATTGGGAAGAAGGGGAATAAATAAGCAAGTCCTTTGATGTAAGTAAATACTTCACAAACATTGGAATGCAATAAAAGAACCTTGGCAATGCCTTTGAAATAAGTTTACGGGTAGCAGTGCACAAAAAAGATCGTACTTCCGAAAGACGTGTATATACGCCCAAGACAATTACAGCTTTGGCTGTGAGAGACATTTATATACACTGGTGGCACTTAAGAGGTTATATTGTAGCTTTAGCGTCGAAGCATAATATTATATTGAATTCAATGTATTGTTATTGAATTGCGGGTAGGGGGGACGACGAAAATTATGATTGAATATTGGGTCGCAAACATTGAAAGTTTGAGAAGCACTGTGCTAAGTCGGCTTATACGAGCTATTTCACTATTCACAGAACCAAATACATCCTAAAGATATTTATTTATCAATTAGCTTAAGTGTCTGATGGGATGATCTACTATTATGTACTATTATAGAGCAGCGTTTCTCAAGCTGTGGGGTGCACCCGCCTAGGGGGAGGCATGCTATCCATATAAAAGGTGGCGCGAGCATATTTAAAAGTCGAAAATAAAAGATTTAAAATAAGCATTGATTTATTGAAAAGAAGAAAAACAAAATTCACATTCTGATATAATAAAAATTAAATACACATTTACTGTGATGTAATATACTTATATAACGTATCAGTACTTTACATTTTTTTAATAATTAATTTATCAATATTAAATTAAAAACAAGTTTAATAATAAGTAGTGCCTTTCATGAGCTTGTCTTGTTCAAAATTTATTACTTATCTTGATAGTTTGTATAATTCATAATCGAAGTCGAATTGTAGCCTTAGCTTCAAAGAATATTTTTTATCGTGTTCAATACATTGTTATTGTACGGTGGGGGAAGGCGATGAAAAAATTATGTTTGAAAATTGGGTCACAAATGTTGAAGGTTTGAGAAGCGCTGTTATAAAGAATTATCCTATTAATTTGATACTACCAGAATGAGATGTGTGTGTGTGTGTGCAGGTCATGTCTCTACAATTTTCTCTTAACATTCTCAGAACCTGTAATTAATACTTTGATATTTCTTGACAATAATTTATTGAAGCAAAAGAACTTGGTTAACTTTATGGATTAAGGAGAAAATTATTTTTCAGCTGTAGCTCTATTTAAAATCACGTTATATATAGTACCATACATCTGCATATCGTGTTTCTTCATCAGCAGGTAGCAGTTAAACACTTTCAATGTGACCTTAAAGAAAAACCTCAAACTAAATTTTAAGAGGAAAATTTTGCAAGATAGCCCTTTAAATTCCTCCTCCCCCCTTTTATCCAGGCTTATTTTATTATTTACATTGTGACATAGCCATCCTGCGATAGCTATGTCGTGTAGGATCCGCGTAAGCTAGAGGTGTGGGATTATCTAAAAGATGAGACATTTTGTAATTCTTAACACAACTTTTATTAAGAATAACTTAATTTACTTAATTCTAAAGAACAACTTTCTTTAAGTGAGAATAAGCCACAAATTAAACTGAATATTCAAGTCAGATCGCACAACTAGATCACTTATCTTAATTATATTTAATTATCTGCCTAATCTAACTTCCTATACAAAATATTACCTTTTATTGAGTAACCCTCCTACCTGGGTTGAAGACTCTCCTATTCGGCTACTTGTAGATAAGAATACTCAGGCCCTATTAATCTTTCTTATAATTAATATTTTAAATGAAGATGAGCGTATCCTTCTTCCTTAGTTGTAGGTCGTCTAACACTTGTTCCGAACTGTTCTGCACTAAGTTATCTCTAAGATTGCCGTTCCATCTCACTAAACCCTCTATCCTTTTAAAGTATATCTTATTTGCATTTTCGCCCTGTTTCTCTTCTTGGTATTGGGTTGGAAAAGTTTTGCCATTAATCGTGGCCGTCAAAGAACTTAGGAGTTATGTTAGAAGAAGAACGCGAGAGACGTCACAACATATTTAAATTACATGTGGGGCTAGATTATTATATCGCAATAAAAATCCAACCTCATTACAAATTAATGATTGTGTGTTAGAGACAGTACTGTTTTTCTATTCCTACTATTAGTTCACACTCTTCCTATATATATATATATATATCTTGTTCAAATTTTCAATCGTTTATAAAATACTTTTTATTCATCCATTCAAATTCAAATACGTTATATTTAACTTGCAGTGGAAGACACTTGATGTTAATAATGGTTTTATTCAAATATTAATCCATTAATCCTATTTAATTAATGAGTAAATAGTAACAAACAAAAATAATAGTCCAACACCATTGTGACATAGCCATCTGTCGATAGCTATGACGTGGGGGTTCCACGTAAGTTAGAGGTGTGGGATTATTGGAAGGATGAGACATTCTAAAATTCTTAATACAACTTTTATTAAGAATTTATCTTAAATTATATAACGAACAAACTTATATTAAGTGAGAATAAACCACAAAGTATGCCGATTATTTAAGTCAGATCGCACAACTAGATCACTTATCCAAAATATAATTATCTGCCTAATCTCGCTTTCTATATTATATTATCGTTTAGAATATAATCCTCCTACCTTGGTTGAAGACTCATCGATTCTGATACTTGTAGGCAGATAGATGTACTCGTGTACAATTGCTCTTCCTTATAAATATTATTATCGAGGGTGGGCGTTTTCGTCTTTCTTGTGAGTAGGCCGTCTAAACACTTGTTCCGAACTGCTCCACACTAAGCTTTCTCTAAGATTGCCATCTCCTCTCACTAAATTTTCTATCCTTTTAAAGGATATCTTATTTGCATTGTTGCTTCGTTTTTCCTCTTAGAATTGGGTTGGAAAAGTTTTGCCATTAATCGTGGCCGTCAAAGAACGTAGGAGTTATGTTAGAAGAAGAACGCGAGAGATGTCACACCATATATAAAAAGAAAATCGCTCATTGTGTTCCTGTAGCACAATGGATAGCGTTTTGGATTTCTAATCCAAAGGTAGTGGGCTCGAGTCCTACCAGGGATAACCTAATTTCTGAGAATGTGATTTATTAATGAATAAATAGTAACAAACAAAAATAATGTTCCAACACTATACATAGAAAGGAAAATGGAAAATTGCTTTCAATTTAACTACTTAATATTGTGATTCTGTCATATGTATATGCATATTTATATTAGTTGTAATTATTTAATAAAAACTAAAATAAAATATTTCTATGTTGATCTAAATAGGAATTGGCTTTAATTTTTTAAATATTACTTGTTTAATACAATTTCACTGTAATTACCTTCTTCGAAAAACCTTTACTTTTCTTTTCTTTTTTTCTATATAGAATAGCAATTATGAATTCCTGAACCACTTAAAATGAAAACTTACAAAAAAAATTCTATTAACGTAAATAAAAGTAAACACCCTTTTCAATATCATTTATATTTTAACTCATTAAGAAATTCAGCAATACACACACATAAAAACACATCTCTTCGTAAATGATTACATTTGGTTCATCAACTTTACTAATAAAGAATATTAAGCAAATGTAATTATTTTTAAAAAAAAAACTTAAAGTATTACATATTTATGTTAACTATGTTAGTCAATCATTATTCTTTGTCACATATTTTGTTCGTTGAATTTAATACATCAGATAATTTTTTGTGACATCTCGAATCTTGTGGTGGTATAAAAATTCACTTTTAAATTAAAACTGTAGTTTTATTTAATGTAATCAAGTAATTCTAGATAAATAAAGCAAATACAATTATCATTAGAATACGAAGTCTTGCAACTCGTTATATCTGTGGAATAACTTAATCCGCGTAAAAGATTCATTACTGTAACAAGATTACACTCACTGATATACAAAAAGACAGTTCTTATAAGATAAATTTTAAATCAATCTTAAACATATATTTTTTTAAAAATCTCTAATAAAATTAGAACTTTTTTCGTTATATCGCAGACACCTGTAAAATTGGAACTTAACCTTGCATGTTAAATAAAAGTAAAAACATTATGTAGAAGCTGTGTGTTTAGATCTTGTTTAGTCCATGTTCAATTAATTATCCTTTGACACATGCATACACTTTAATTTAATTAAATTTTTTCTCCTTAAAAAGCAAATTAATCTTACCGTTTTTGTATATTTTGAGGGTATTGATTGTATTACTTAACGCTCTTGGTTTTCTACGTTAGTTTATTTATTTATTAATTGTGTTAATCCGTTTAAAGAAGAAAAATACCCTTAACATTTAAATTAATTTAATTTTAACTTAATTTTTTTCTAAATATTAAAAAGAAATTTATCTATGGTTCATGAAGCGTCAAATTTACTTATTTTCTTTCACGAAAAATGCATCAATAATTAGAGTGGAATAATTTAAAGAGAAAAATGTGTGTGACTAAGTAGTTTAGACGTGACATTTTCCTCTTTTGTGATTGTTGATTGCTAAAATTTGAAAGGTTTGACAAGTTTCGAAACGTAGTTTTTTGAGCGAGAAAAAATTGTCAAAGGACTGAGCTAAAATTACCTCGTTTGTATAGATATATATATATACAAGAGGCATTTCAAACATAATGCACGCAATCTTCTTCAAGTTTTCAGTATTTCCTTACAAGTATTCAGAGTATTCTCCCTTCATCACAATGATACTCTCAATGATTTAAAATCATTTCAAATACATCTAATACGCCATCATCTTTGTGCATTTATATATGAAACTTGAAGTCATCCAATGAGTTCTTTGAGAATAGTAAAATTCTGGCGGACACATATCAGGACTGTAGGGTACAACACATGACACTTTTCAGTCGTATCGGAGCAACTATCCTGTTACGATCTAGGAAGGAGACAACCAGGCATTGCCAGGAAGAATGAATCTCAAGCAACTCGGATCAAGGATTTTCTTTGCAACCTTCGGAAAAAAGCCTAATATAGTTCTATGAATGAGTGAGTGAATATTAACGTCGCACTGTTCAGCTACACGAGGACTTTCAGCGACGGACCTCGTAAATTTGAACCATGGTAAAGTGACGAGGACAACACCTGAGCTGGCAACCCCCTCACCACACCAATAGAAGGACATTACATTTAAGCTCTCGACAGATTTAGCAAGCATCGCTCCCCTACAAGGTGGGTCTTTAGTGGTACTGGGCTCGAACTCGCGCGTGACATGCCAGTCACGATCCGATACCTTGACCGCCAGGCTATTGCAGCCACGAATACAGTTCTGCGAAATTGCGTGCAAAAATGCCTTAGTATTTGTGGTCAAAAATCATCATTTCATTCATCTTCAACCAAAATCAATGGAATTGCTCGAGTTGTGGAGAAGATATAGCTCTCCAGCGAGAAACTGTATTGTAGTCTAACGTTAACTCACCGTATGCTTCAAGTCAGCGTTTCTCAAACTGTGGTGTACGCCTCCTCTAGAAGGGGGAGGCAGGCATAATAACTTTTTGAAGGGGGCACGATAATATTGAAAAGTCGAAAACAAAAAAGATTATTTTAAAAAATTAATAATTTACTAAAAGTAAGAAAAGAAAATATATAAAAAATAAATAAATACATATTAAAAAATAAAATACACATTTACACTAATATAATAACTTATAAATGTACTTCACAATATATTTGATAATTAATTTAGCAATACTAAAGAATAAGTTAAATAATTACCAGTGACCCCATGGGCATGTCGTATATAAAATTATTTTCAAAAATTAACACATATGTTGATAATTTGTATGGTTTAGAATTAATCCCATAGAGCTGCCAATTAAAAGTTACGCGATTCGCTCCACAATGCCACCGTTTTCCACGTAGGTGTGCGTATGTGATGAAATGAGGGGGGGGGGAGGGAATGAATAAGCAAATCCTCTGAAATAAGCAAATCTTTTGCAAACACTGTCAATGTCCTTTTATTGCATTTCAAAGCCTTATATAGGTCTGGGTATTACCAATTAAAACCTGACCTAAATGTAAGGTTACCTATCTAAGGTTTCGACCTAACGTTACCTAAATGTAAAGTTTTCCAAATTCAATAGTGACAGTACCGTGGACCATTTAAATCTCCGTTTGTAATTTTTGTTAATACAAATTCGTACAAGCTATCTCTAAATAACAATAAGAATAACAAAAAAAAAATACTACCTCCTGCTTCCTCAAATTTAAAGCTGACATAACTTTTGATGCATTTACCTTAAAGCAGTAGCGTCGTCTGAATTACATTGTGAAATGACTCTCCCATATATATACTGGGGGGTTGAGTTTCTTGTTTTGAACATGTTGCAGTGATGTTTGCAGGGACAGAAGGGGTTTTGTGGAAGAGGAGGAGTGGGATATTTATATTCCCGTCTCAGTCTCAAACATGTTGTGGTCGAGGCAACCACGCGCTTCTGCCGTAGAGGCGTATTCTCTAGCAGTTGGTCGGTGATTGCAGTGCAACGTACTTTTCGTCGTCACTTTGATATTTCTCCACAAGGTCGTGTTTCTAATTAGAAATGTGTTTTAATGTAGATGGATGCCTTCCGAGTAACGGGGACTGTCTCCAAAGAAAGGAAAGACCCCGAAGACTGTTAGAACATCTCAAAATGTGGAACAAGTTCGTGTGTCAGTTGAGACAGGTATCCTGCAATGATCCAACACTTTTTTTTAACCCATTCTGCATGAAAAGGAACTTGACAACATGTGGTTACAACAAGATGTGTGGCCACAGCCCAAGCCTCCAGGATCTCCATGGGTGTTTTAAGGTTAGCCTTTCTCCGACTTTTCTGTGAGGGGACGTAAACTGGCCTACTCGCTCACTTGATTTATCCTCTCCTGATTACTTTCTGTGGGCTTATCTCAAGTCTCTGGTTTACAAAGATCACTCCAAGGCCCTGGAAGATCTACAGAACAGCATCCATGCCGTAATTGATAACATCCCAATCGATATGCTTGAAAAGGTGACTCAAAGTTTTCGAAATTGACTGTATCTGTGTATTGATAATGGAGAGTGATATTTAACAGACATTGTGTTTAAAACTGTAAATTCAAAGTTCCAATGTTGTGTGATAAGCGGAAAATAACAATAAAGTCGAATGAAACATGTAGAGTTTTATTGGATTTTCAAAACAGGAAGTTCCCACGCCCCACCCCGAATGATAGTATTGAAGCAGAAATTTGCCATTATATTTAAAAAAAGTTTTTTCTTATGTGAAACATAGGAACCAGGTTAGTGAACCGTAAAAGGTCATAATGGTTTTACTTTTTTTAAATTTCATTTTTAATTAAGTATCATTTATAAAATTTTAAGTTTTTAGTCTTAAAAATAAGTATTATTTTAATGTATATATTATTGAATTTTTAACTAATGCGAAAAATTGTACAAATAGCACAGAATCACTTTTCGAATGCAAGAGGATGTTCTTTTAAGCATCTTAAGAAGTTACGAGATGTATCAAATAGATAACTACTTTACTCTTATATCAAATAGATAAATACTTTAAGCATCGGATTTCAAGTATAATGTCTAAGATAATTAATTTACATTAACTGAACCAACCTTAAGGCAATCAGCTCTGATTGGAAGAGTAATTTTTCATTTATTTAATTGAAATTAATTACCACATATTTTGGTAAATATGTGTACAGATGTTAATGATCATTTGCTAAAAATATTCCCCGTGAGTTATGTAATCTTTTGAACCGAATTCAACACTTTTAAACAGAGATTCATTCATCAAAATACATGAAATGCCAAGAAATTTTAATTCATCTAAATTTATTTATTTATACATACTCTTAATAATGTTTTTACTTGGAAACGTGTTTATTTCAAACAAAATAACATACATCTGTACGGGAAAAAAAGTAGCATTTAAAAATGTTATACACTTAATTATAAGCAAAATAATTACAATAAATCCCTTGCTTATACCGAATCTTTATAATAAACTGAAAATTAATGCTTAAGTAGTGTATTTAAATAATTATTTTTCTTTAGAAGCAATTAAAGTGATCATTAATTTTTTACAGTTACCAA